TAATAAGGTTGAAGTATTTTTCTCTTTTTTGACATTTCAGTTTCTTTTTTACTGAATATTCTGCCTTTGTTCTTGGTGATCTGGGGATAAATCTCCCTGAATGGAAATCAGGAAGTCACTTTGCTGACTCTGATTCTGCTACTTGACAGCTGTGTCCGCCTGGCCCCTGGGTCCCTCCATCCTCATGTGCACAGTGGGGCTGCGATGCCGCCTCCTGGGTACATTGAGATCTGGGAACGTTGCTTATACTGTACTCGGAAATGTACACCCCACATAGCGTGGATCTTCCTGGCTATGTGGCCCTGGGCAGGTTCTCTAACCTCTGTGCCTCGAGTTTTCCATCTGTACAATGGGGATAATAGTAGAACCTATGTCATGGGGCTGACCTGAGACTTAAAGATGTTAGTACATAAAGAGTACTAAAACAGTGCCTGGCACACTTGGAAGACTCAATAAATATTACCATTTTTATCTACATTGGATCTTTGAGATCTGTCATCAGGGCAATGAACAGAACTTGCTGAGGATGAGTTGATGGTAGAACCCTGGCATGTCAGAGCTGCAAGACCCTTCTAGAAATCACTCCCCTCACTTACACCTGGAACATTGGGGTCCAGATCAGAAAAGAAATTCACCCAATATTATTCAGCAAATGGGTGGCTGAGGCAGGACTTAAATGTAGATGTTGTCCCACAAAGATTTCACCATTGACCTGCTGCAGCCCCTATATGTCCGCCATTTGAGTGACTTCTCATGGTGTGTAGAAGTCTCTTGTGGACTGGAATATGTTTACCTGGTGGAGGAACAGGGTCACCCTGCATGCCACCATCTGGAGCCCCTCAGACAGCAGGAAATGTCACCTCCCAGGGTGGGTCAGCGTCTCCGCAGCCTCCTCTCCTTGAGCCAGGGCATCCCAAAGCCCCAGGAAGGGGAGAGGTGCCAAGGTCATCTCACTCTGCTTGGCCTTGAGAGGACTTAGTGAGTCCCAGGGCCCCACCTGGACCCCCAGATGCCTCCTCCCCCTTCCAGCATCTCGAGTCTGGCAAAGGCAAGTACAATTACAGGGTGAAACCTCCCAGATCAAGGCCCGGCCCAGCCCCAGGAGACACCTTGCTCAGGTCTGTTTGGACCTCAGAGGTTCCTCTTTCTCCCCTGCCCAGGTGCCCCCAGGACCCAGTGGCAGGGCAGGTGCTCTCCGACCTCTTTACCAACAGAAAGGAGAACATTGCTGTCACGTTTTCCGAAGACTGTCTTTACCTGAATATCTACACTCCTGCTGACTTGACCAAGAAAAGCAGGCTGCCGGTAAGCCATGGGGACCCCTGGCCCAGACATGCTGGTTCCACAACCACGGGGCCTTCTGGTGCAGATGGGAAGGGGTGAAGGCAGCTGGGGAGGGGGCAGCACGGCCAGGACTGCTCAGGGGCCGCAGGGCTCCCACAGAAAATGCAAGTTTTCCACATGTCAGTTTCCCCTACTGACATGGAACCACTGGGGGAGTTCGCTGTACATCTGTAAGGCACAGCTTAATCGTCCCACGTTCTTTCTTGCTAACTGAAGGACAAGAGTGATTACCCTTAGTTCGTAGTTTAAGAATCTGATACCCAGAGCAGTTCGGACATAATTTTCCATAGTGTTAGAGCTGGAAGGAGTCTTAAAGAAAAGCCAATAACCCAACTCTTCCATTATACATAGAGAAACTGAGGCCCAGAGGGGGGAATGCAGAGGTGCACAGTAGGGCTGGCAGGACCAGAGCTCAGGTCTTTTGATCTTCAAGCCAGCGTTCTTTGACATGGAGTAGGACATGGAGCATGTGTGTGGCCTTTCCCCAGCACACCAAGGTCCGCCTGTGACAACTTTCACTGTCATATTACTAAGGTGTTGGGTGGAGCCTAGGACAGTCCCAGAGGTGCTTTCCTGTGTCTTTGTCCAATCACTTATGATTTTATGCAGCTAATTTTTCTCCCTAACACTCTTAGGACTGGCACAGGCCGGTGACCCCGTGAGTCAGCATTTCCCAAATAATCGATGGACCAGAGATGGGCAGGCTGCCAGCTGCAGGCTGGAGGGTGGGGGAGGGT